ACAACTGACCAGAGGTAACACAGAAAAACAAGGAGAGAGAGAAGCAGAGCTGACCACTCTGTCTGCAGAGGCCAGAGAAACAAGCATACCACAAGCGAGGCAGCTAAGACCGCTAAGGGGGTCAGCACAAAAGTACAGACGGGGACACACCCGAGAAGAGAATGATGGAACAAAGACAGAACTAAGGAAAATAAAATTCATATTTCTTAAGAATCTTCTATGTATCAGGTAGTATGCCCTACTTCACATATTTATCTTATTTCATTCCTCAAAAAATCATCAGTGATAGGTGCTGTTATATATTCTATGGAGAGATGATATTATAGATGAAGAAACTAATAAAGCCTACAGCAAAGGTAATTTATCTGAGGATACAGAAATGGAGAGCAACAGGGCCAGATTCTGAACCCAGCTCTTTCAGACTCCAAAGTCTATACCCCGCCCCTGGACTCGTGGGTAGAAAAATGCTAGCTGTGAAGAAAGGAAAAGGAGACTCCCAGGCCGCAGAGACTGCCAAGTACAATAGAAAGGAGCAGAGAATAATGCATTAGCAATATCAGAACTTGAAATAGTGGCCTTTTTGTTAAAAAGGCGTTAAGTTTCACAGGCTTTGAATAAGGAAAGACTTGAAAAGGTAAAGAGGTAAAAAGGAGGTAAAAAGTTAAGATACAATTTGGTTCGTCATGAATGATTCAGAATTGCAGGAACCCAATGCTTACTGCAGCTAAAGGTAGGTGATGGGATTCCAGGTGACCTTCCACACTCCAACCCCCAAAATACCTATAACTCCTATGATGAACAAAAATGTCTTTTGTAAAGAGAGAGAAAAGATGTGGTATATTTTGTTTCTGTTAATGTTTTATTTCAAGACTATTAAGAACTGGCTGGTGGGGCAGAGGTTCTTCAAGAATGAAGTCAGAGGAAACAAGCAGAGATGTGAAGTGACAGAAGAGAGACAAGCTACCTCCACAGACTAAGCAAAACATACCCTTAGACTGTGAAAGGCATCCCTCCTCTTCCCTCTTCCTGAACTCTCACTCCACAGTCCTTAGGTAGTGCCAAGCGACAAAGGACATCTAAGGACAGGCTAGGGGTTGAGGAGAGGGGAGACATGTCCAAAATGGCAGTGACATACAAGGAAATTAATCTAGTCAGTAAACAAAATGAGGATAATGACAGCCTAGTCTCTTACTGCCAAAGAAAGAAACTACAGACATGGTAAGGATAGAACTGAGCTGAATCCTCCAGCATTACAATGGAAATGAGATATATTAAACTCATGGATTGTAATATATGCATAAATAAAAACAGAAATAAATATTTAGAAATATATACATAAAGGAAGTATGTACTTAGCTCTGTGCTAAGAGACCTAGAAGCAGTGACACCTCAATAGTAATGATCTCATCTAATGACCAGATCTTGTTTTCTAAATACTGTTCTTCATTAAAAGAAACCAGGGCTCCTTGTGGAGAGAGCTGATTCCAGGGCTGGTGTACAGATAATACAAGATGAACCGGGAACATCTTTCTTTTTTTTTTTTGATTAATTTTTATTGGAGTATAGTTGCTATGCAATGTTGTGTTAGTTTCTACTATACAGCAAAATGAATCAGCTATACATATATCCCCTCTTTTTTGGATTTCCTTCCCATTTAGGTCACCACAGTGCATTAAGTAGAGTTCCCTGTGCTATACAGCAGGGGTCCCCAACCCCTAAGCCTCTGACTGGTACCAGTCCACAGCCTGTTAGGAACCGGGCCACACAACAGGAGGTGAGTGGCGGGCAGGCGAGCTAAGCTTCACCTGCCGCTGACCATCGCTCGCATTACCGCCGAACCATCCCTCCACCCCACCCCCAGTCCGCAGAAAAATTATCTTCAATGAAACTGGTCCCTGGTGCCAAAAGGTGGGGGACCGCTGCTATACAGTACGTTCTCGTTAGTAATCTATTTTATACATAGTATCAATAGTGTGTATGAGGAACATCTTATTTGAAAATAAGAAAGAATTTAAAGAATGATAGGGACTCTTCCCATCAACAGAAAAATGGATAAAGAAGACAAGGTACACACGCGCGCACGCGCGCACACACACACACACACACACACACACACACACAGTGGAATACTACTCAGCCATTAAAAAGAATGCAATTTTGCCATTTGCAACAACATGGATGGACTTGTAGGGCACTGTGCTAAGTGAAATAAGTCAGAGAAAGAGAAATACTGTATGATATCACTTATATGAGGAATCCAAAAAATACAACAAACTAGTGAATAAAACAAAAAAGAAGCAGACTCACAGATACAGAGAACAAACTAATGGTTACAACCAGTGGGGAGGCGGGTAAGGGCAATACAGGGGTGGAGGAGTGGGAGGTATAAACTACTGGGTGTAAGACAGGCTCGAGGATGTACTGTACACAACATGGGGGATAGAGCCAATATTTTGTAATAACTGTAAATGGAAAGTAACCTTTAAAATTGTAAAAAAAAAAATTTAATTAAGTTAAAAAATAAAGGTTTACATTTATGCTAAACTAAAAAAAAATAATAAATAAAACAAATGACACAGCTTTATACGTACTGATACAGAGTGACTTCTAATATATACTAAGTGAAAAAATAATGTGTAGAACAAAAAAGAATGATATGAACTTTTCAAAAGGACAGAGAATCAACCTGAAGGGGCTCCTAATGGCCAGTTTGGGAAAATCTAAGCATCAAAACAAATAAGGAGAGTAAATGATTATAACCCACTGAGTAAAAAGGAAATCTATGAATGAGTACATCTGAGATACACAGACAGATGGATGGGAGGGAGGGATAGGTAGAATACAGGGAGAGAAAGAAAGAAGAGGAAGAAGGAAGTAAATTTCTTGAAAAAAGAACATTTACAAAGGTTCAAAGTAACTCTCAACAAAATGTTTATTAATTACCAGGAGGTAAAGAGTAACTTTACAGTAGAGCTATCTGGCAGACACCAACCTGAACAAGTGATTAACATCAACGGTATTGGTATAAATCAAAACCATGTAGTATCTGATAGGATTCAATGAGAAGAACACTTCTCACAGAACAACACTTTTTTGATATTCCAAAATGAAAAATCATTATACAAAACAATTGGCCTACATCTTCAAAAATGTCAAAGCCATAAAAGCCCAGAAAAGACTAAGGAACTGTTCCAGACTAAGGAAAGAAGAAAACAAAATGCAATGTGATTCTTCAATGGATCGGTTTTACAAAAGTAACAATACTGGGCAACTGGCAAAACCTGAATGGAGTCCGAGGACTGAATGGTAGAAGAATATCAACATTAACTTCCCGATCTTGATAGCTGTATTGTGGTTAACATAGGAGAATGTACTTGATTGTAGGCAAAACATACTAAAGTACTCAGGGGTGATAAAGCATCGTGCTGGTAATAACTTAAATTCAACCGTTTCCAGTGGGAAAATTATCTCTTCTATTGGGGGGTGGGGGCAGTTATTTTCCCGGACATTCCCAATCAACTCCATGGGACCCTTGAAAGCGTTTGTCAGTTATCTTAAACACCTGTTATGGTCTATACCACAAAAGAGCCAGGTGTGAGGCAAATATTCTCATTCCAGCAGTGGGGAACCTATGACCTGAAGAGAACAGTTCCTTCACACCAACCTAATGTTTTGGCCTAAGCAGCAAAATCAAGACAGTTGTCTGCATTTCCTCTTCAAATAACTTCATTTTCAAACGAAGAAATGCAGATTAAGAGGGAGGATGGAAAACATCTTATTTTCCATATTAAAAGGCACAGATCTTTACCTTTGGAGTCATAATCACTACTCGTACAAATGCTAAAGATCAACATTCCCTTTTCTAAGGAAAACATGATTCTATGTGTAGAAATCTACACCTCTGGAAAAATCACGTTAGAGCGGAAGATTCCTTCTTAAACTTTTCAGAGCAGAATATTAACTTTTGCTTTCTCGTATCTAACGTTAACCAACACACAAAGGGCCTGCAATCACTAGATAAACTGACACTAAGATACAACAGAGCCGAAGAGTCATTAATGCTTTATGGCCTGAACATGTGTGCATCTCCTGCCATCTATTCTTAAGCCGTATAGAATCTGATTTACATTTTCCTTAATTTGTAGCAGATAAATGTCTCATCAACTGTTCAGAAGCTAAGAATTCAGATTGTGATAATTTTCCATTAGAGGGAATTAAAGTCCAAGTGAGTAAGAAGAGGCAGCAAATGGACTGCCTTTCCTTTCGCCTTGATTCCAATCTACACAGAGTATGGGGTCTGGATCAAACTGTTTTCAATACTCATCACACAACATGCTTGCCTTCCAGGAGTTTAGCTATATGCTCTTGGGCTTCGCAAAACGTCAATACAAGAATACTCCACTTGAATAACTTCTATGTATTCCGTGAAATCATAGCTGAAAACATAATCCACTACATCACAATGGCAGAACCCATCACAAACTGTCTTTCTCATTGAGTACAATGCCAGGAAACAAATGGACTGACTTTCATTCCACACACAATGAATACTCTGTAACTCAGTGCTGCGCAGAGAAAGGAACAGTTCCTTATTAGTCTTAGCAGCCAAGAGGCTCAAATTCAATGCAGAGAACAGCAGTTTAACTGGCTCCTCCCGTAGGGGCTTCGTACCCTCTACTTTCTGTGCTCTTCTCTTCGCAGATGGTTTACTATGTGTTTATCTTTAATAGTCCTGCTTTATACCATCTTTTTAATCCTACCAGCGGATTTAAATCCTCTTGAAAGTACCCAGCATATGTACGCACACATGTATTTATTTTCTTTCCCTTACAAATTTTCCTCCTGATAGCTCTTATATTTTCAGGTAGCATTCTAAACTTAATGATCTAGAAGTTTTCAATGATACAGACACCAAGAGGCTAACTTAACAACGAGCAGGGAGCTGGCGGCACCAAGCCCCGGTGTTCTGCTGGCGGGCACGCGGCGCGCGGGCTCGTCACCTTTGCAGTAGTCTGCGGGGTCCTCCTGCTCCTCATCGTCTGACCCCAGGATCTCCTCCTCTGGCTCCGGGGGCGCAGGGTCTGCCAGAGGCGGCGGCGGTGGAGGGGGCGGGGGTGGAGGAACCAAGGGAGCTTTCTGCTGAGGCTCCGGCCTGAAACAGAGGAAGGACAATTCCTGTTTACTCAGAAGTAAATCCTGCGTTATGAATACACCTGAGAGTTTCTTAATATGGGAAAAAATAAAACTTGTCACACACTAAGAAGAGATGCTGATTAATGTCACTTCAGCCACTTTAGCTGAATTCAAGTACTGTTTCAAAACACAAGTGGGGGGCGGGGGGGGGGGGACTACCCTTATTAACCAAGGAATATTTCTGCAGGCCCCTTTTCACTCCAAGCGTCATTACTTCTTAAGTCTTGATAATATTATGAATTGTAAGTGAAAAAGAGTTATCCCCCCACAATACACAGCCTTAGTAGTTAGAACACATCCCCCAGAGATTAGAAAAAGACAGAGGAAAGCAACCCTGGACTTTAAAAAAAGGGCTTATTTTCCATCATTTTAAAATCAGAATTCCTTTCCCCATAGAAACAGTAGGAATGTGGTTAGGTTTCCTGGATAACTCATAAAAGCCAACTAATGTATACTGTAATGTACACCTTGCTTAGCAAGACAAGAACACTGTCCCAAACTGGAAATTAAACAAAGAAAACATCCACTGCAGTCAAATACAAATACAATCCATACATCAATGCAAGACTTCCAATGGTTATTTCTAATTGTTACAAAAAGGCTAAATGTTTAGTATACTCTTTTACAAAAGATAGGAAAACCTATAATACTAAAAACAAATAAACAACTTAAGAGGTTACAGATGTAAACCTTTCAGATATCTAGAATAACTCAGGATATATTAAATACATTTGCTTAGAAGCATTCATAATGCAATTCTATAAAATCAAGCTTTCACTTATAAAATGTAACTGCTCCTTCTAGCCATATCCCAGTGGGGAATCTTGAACCAATAGTCTCAACTGGATGCAGAACCTCTCTTGAGCTGCAAGCTGCCCTAACAACAGGACCACCACTGCTCTCCCTGAGCTGGCCACAGCTCTACAGATAAAAAGTGGGGAGGGAAAAGATACCAAGTGGTAGGGGCAAGGGGGTTCAGCTGATGGACTGTTCCCCAGAGGCAGTTTCAGTGGGATGAAGAGGGCCTCTAGTCTGGGGAGCAAGGGGAACCTCACAGACACTGATGTGGTAGATAATGGCCATTTTTCTTGGCCTGCCCAGTACTGATGCTCCCTTTCTAAAAGCATGTTTTGGAACACTGCTACTCCCTGCACAGTGAAAGGCTGGCTCCAGTCCTCTCTCCTCATTGTGGTACAGCCTAGGGCACAGAGCCGTGGAACCTTGCTTGAGAAGGTCAGCCATCACAGGGTGCAAATTCATCCTAGCTGCTAGTAAAAGGCAGGGTCAGAGGACCTGCCCCTTTCTGAGCTGAACCTCTAAATTCTTGCCAAATCTAGGAGCCCCCAAATAGCCTTTAGCACCCTGCCTTCAGCCTAAGGTAGTTACAGCTCATTTATGTGGGTTGCCACCAAAAACTCAAAGTGCCACAGCAAACGAAGGAAGGCAGTAGAAACACCAGCAGTCATGAGGATGGGGTGGGGATCACACCTCACAGGTAACCTTAAAGGTCAACCCTGGCAAGTATGATTACCTTTGGCAGGACAACTAAAGAATGTTTATAATCTGAAAATGACTTGTACTGACTTCTACTTGATACAATTTATGGAGACTCAAAGTTACAGTTCCCTAGGTAACAGACATTAGGACAATGGGGGTGATAACATTCTCAATTAACCATGCCTCATGATGGAGTACTGAAAGGGAGTCATCACAACCAAACACCAACATCACTGCCAGAACCTCCAAAGAAATCCCAAGAGACCTTATGGAAGTACAGTCATCTTTCTGGCAGCCTTGCAAATGCTCATTTTCTTTTTAACAGACATGGCTTTACTGAAAATAAAATGATCCTAGAGAAAAGAGGCCTGAGGAAGGGGAGGTAGGAGAGGAACTGCACCAGTTTCAATGCTTCCCCAAAGGAAAGAGGTTAGAGAAAAGATTTACATGACCCATTCCTGGGGGTGGAATCTATCTATTTGACAAATTTGCTCAACCAAAAATACTTTCAAAGTTGACTATTTCTTCCTAAGAAATTTTATATGAAAAAATAAAGAGATTCTCTAAATTAAAAAAAAAAAAAAAAACCAAAAAACAACAACACATATTCCCTGTGGAGACTATGTAACAACTAATGAAAAGGGAAGGACTAGAAGATCTTGTTCCACTGCTGCAGGGCGCTGCTACGCTCGACACCACTGATACTTGGGCCAGGAAACTCACAGCTGTCGGTGCTGTTTTGTACATTGTAGAACGCTGTCAGCCTGGCCTCCAGCCACTACATGTCAGTTGTGATCATCACAGACATGTCCAGAGACAAAGCAACCTAAATGTCCATCAACAGAGGAATGGATAAATAAGATGTGGTACATATATACAATGGAATATTACTCAGCCATAAAAAAGAATGAAGTAATGCCATTTGCAGCAACATGGGTGGACCTAGAGATTCTCATACTAAGTGAAGTAAGTCAGACAAAGACAAATACATGATATCGTTTATATGCGGAATCTAAAAAAAAAACGGTACAAATGAACTGATTTACAAAATAGAAGTAGACTCACAAATGTAGAAAACAAACTTATGGTTACCAGGGGATGAGCAGGGCGGGGGATAAATCGGGAGATTGGGATTGACAATATACATACTACTATATATAAAACAGATAACTAATAAGGACCTGCTGTATAGCACAGGGAACTCTACTCAATACTCTTGTAATGGCCTACATGGGACAAGAATCTTAAAAAAAACCAACACTGGATATATGTATATGTATAACTGATTCACTTTGCTGTACACCTGAAACTAACACAACATTGTAAATCAACTATACTCCAATACAAATTTTTTTAATCATCACCAAAAAAAACCTATGTCCAG